AACCTGGCACTAGAAAAGTTGTTCATCTATAAACCTGGCACTGGGAAAGTTATTTATCTATAAACGTGGCACTAGAAAAGTTGTTCATCTATAAACCTGGCACTAGAAAAGTTGTTCATCTATAAACCTGGCACTAGAAAAGTTGTTCATCTATAAACCTGGCACTGGGAAAGTTGTTCATCTATAAACCAGGCACTAGAAAAGTTGTTCATCTATAAACCTGGCACTGGGAAAGTTGTTCATCTATAAACCTTGCACTGGGAAAGTTGTTCATCTATAAACCTGGCACTAGAAAAGTTGTTCATTTATAAACCTGGCACTGGGAAAGTTGTTCATCTATAAACCTGGCACTGGGAAAGTTGTTCTTCTATTCCCAGTGCCAGGTTTATAGATGAACAACTTTCCCAGTGCCAGGTTTATAGATGAACAACTTTCCCAGTGCCAGGTTTTTAGATGAACAACTTTCCCAGTGCCAGGTTTATAGATGAACAACTTTCCCAGTGCCAGGTTTATAGATGAACAACTTTCCCAGTGCCAGGTTTATAATGAACAACTTTCCCAGTGCCAGGTTTAAAATTGTTCATCTATAAGCCTGGCACTGGGAAAGTTGTTCATTTATAAACCTGGCACTGGGAAAGTTGTGCATCTATAAACCTGGCACTAGGAAAGTTGTTCATTTATAAACCTGGCACTAGAAAATTTGTTCATTTATAAACCTGGCACTTGGAAAGTTGTGCATCTATAAATGTCGCACAGGTAGAGAGATTTATCTATAAATGTTATACTGAGAAAGTTTATCTATAAATGTTATACTGAGGAAATTTATCTATAAATGTTATACTGAGAAAATTTATCTATAAATGTTATACTGAATAAGTTTATCTATAAATGTTATACTGAGAAAGTTTATCTATAAATGTCACACTGGGCAAGTTGTTTATAAATGTTGCACTGAAACAGTTATTTATATATAAATGTAGGAGTGCAAAAGATTAAAGTACTTTATAGCATTTACCAAACTTTTTTAAAAATGATAATTTCACTTACGGGTGTATCAATCAGATTGAGAAGGTAAGCATTTCCCTCATATTCATAAAAAATAGAGGCACTTTGAGCCTTAACAGTGATGCCTCTTTCTCTCTCGACTGGTAACTTGTCAAGCACTTGTTTGTTCTGCTCATTCTTCGATATGGTTCCTAATCAATGAAGTAAACTGATTAAATTACATGTACTTCAAGATAATAATTTATATTTAATAATATAAACAAGAAATGCCAAATCTACATTGTATGTATACCCATTATTGTAAAAATAAAACAGCTATGCAAAATTCAGCAGTAAACAAGACACAAAGTAAAAGAACACCTCACCATCTTGTGCGAGTTTTAATTTCAAACAGCTATATTAAAATCAAATAGTGTTACAGATGGAAGACCAATAAACCAAATTAGGTCTGGTAATATGTAAGATGTTTCACACAGTGGTCACGGTAACACACATCATTAATCCCTTCACTATAAAGAAATCAAACATAAGTGTACAGCCAATATGGGGTATACTGTTCCCAACTTTTATTTTTATTTCCAGGGAACTTTAAAAGAAGATAAGTTAATAATACTTTTTACTAAATATTGCAAATGTTTTGAATGACAAAACAGTACACTTCATTAAAAAGAAACACAAAATGTGAGCACATGATACATTCATGTTAGTAATCAAATTGTTAATCTCTTTTTCAAGGTTCACAACTACAACTAAACATAATCGTGGGAGGTCAAATCCACTAATCCAATATCTAAAACCACCATACCCCACAGAAAAACAGAAATGAAATAATAATTAAAAAATGAAAATAGACCACTAATGTAACTTCCAATTCCAATAAATACAGAAATATAGATAGAAAGGCCTATTTTATAGATATAATCCAAAGGTTAACAAAATAAAAGTTAAAAACAAAATATTGTAAAAGTTAAAATTTTTATTAAATTAGCATGTAAATAATTATGCAGCAACTCTCCACCAACATGAGCATGACAGAACCCCCTATTGTAACCAGCACTTTCTCCACATTTGTACTCATTAAGCTTTTCTTGTTTAGTACTGCCCTCTATCGGTGCAAATTTTCAATACTCGCTACTAGCCTTCCACCTCCCGCTTCTGTATATTCATGTGTAAATGATTATGCAGCAGGTCTCCACCAATAGGAGCATGAAAGAACCCCTATCATAACCAGCACCATCTCCATATTTGCACTCATTAATCACTTCGAGATTGGTCAGAGGATCCACATGGAAGTAGGGAGGCTGGTGAGAAATGTGAGAAGATGTTAGTATCCATCAGAAATATATTTTCAGTTTAAGAAAATTTTAACTTCTGATATGATATCTCACCTCCTCTTACAAAATAGCTAGAATCCCATATTGAAGTGTTTGAGGGCTGGTGAAAAAATGATCCCCCTTTAAGAAGCACCCAAGAGAGACCATGGGGTGTGGAATCAAAAAAGAAAATATCATACCTTAGCAACAGACTGCGCCATATATGATCCAGATATACTCTTCGTTCTTTTATGTCTGTGTCGCGAACATATAAGGCAGAAAAACACGAAGGAATCCCATGATATGTATTATCTATTAATGGGATCCCTGGGTGTGGAGTGGCTGGGACACAACAGACCACAGTAGTAGTTCGACCTCATCCACCTACCTACCTCTTCACCTTGAAATGGGAATTGGTAGGGAAGATGAGCTTCTGTACCAAAATCCGTTTCCACTTGCATGCGTTTCAAACCCAACCAATACTTGATCCACCACGAACCAAACATCAAGTAGATGGTAGAGAAAGAGACTGCAAACCTGGGGTGCATCTCCAGTCCAAAATATGGCAGCATTGGGCATTTTTCATCCAGTCAACAGTAGGAGGAAGGATACCAGTCAGAACTCATTTGAGGACTTATTAAACTGGACCATCTCCAACCAACACCCAACACCCCCAGGAACCACATCCGGAGGATGGCAGGAATATATGTGGCATAGTGCTTCAATCAAAACCTGGCAGTATCTGGAATTGTACATCAGGTGCATAGTAGGAAGGGCATCATGCCATTGTCACATGATTCTAATTGCTACAGGGCCATATCCAATCAACACCAGAGCCACTAGGAATGGTAGGAAGGGGAAATGCCACGGTGGGAAAAAGCAATCTGCCATGTATATACATATAAGTATGGTGTAGTCCTACAACCAAAAACCTGGCGGCATCTGGAATTGTACATCAGGTCCATGGTAGAAGGTGCTATACATCATTAACACCTACAGAATGCCACCATACTACTCTCAACTGAGTGGTATGATGCATTACTCAGGATGACAGACCTCCATGATCCACTACTCCAGTGACTAGGAACTGGTAAGTGGCATGGACTCCCATACTCCACTAGAAGAAAGGAGGGAAAAATCCATTGGAGAGTCTGGAGGACTACATCACCCGAGACAGTGCAACGGGTGACCACAATACCCTATTTTGAAAAGCAGATCTACCACATAAACGGAGTCGATCAACCAACACCCAGTAACATCTGGAATTGTACATTTGGTCCATGTAAGAAAGAATCTCAATGCCACAGAGCATCAGAAACGGGCAGTAATCCCTGTCTGCCTTACTCATGTGTCTGAGTGTTTGGTCTGGGACAAACATATGTATGAAGCAAAAGACCACGAGAGAGAAAGAGAACTATTAACTGTCCTACAGAGCATCTCATCTCTACAGTGTGCATAATGTAATCGTGCGATGTAATTGGTTTTGGCGTAGAGGACAATTGAACAGAGACACACAAACAATACCTGGTATCATCTGGAATTGCATATCAGGTATGTGGTAGGAAGAGCTACAAAGTAATTGACATTGAGTGTGGTCAAAGGATGGACAGTGCAGATTTTCAGAAAAAAAAAATCTGGTCAGGCACCACTCATCACTAGCAAAAATGCCCCTGTAAATAAAGAAAGAACAAAAACATAGTACTCATTAGTCACAATAACACTGCTGTGTATAAGATGGCGACTAGAGTTTAACAAAAACTGATTTAGCGAGAAACAGCTACGTGATGTAAATAATCTGAAACAAGGGTATGAGGTGTAGTTACATACTGGCCATGATGATGACCTCCAAAGGGCAGCCAGGGACATGGTGAGGTGATGGATTTGATGAGAAAATACCATAAAAGGGTGACATTCCTCAGGCAAAAGAGAAGAATACACCTGCCTAATTAACTGTTAAATCAAACTTGCAAGGGTAATTGAAGAGAAGTCCCAGGACATGGAACGATTCCATGGAATAAACAAATGGTTATGGTAACCACGGAAGGGAGCAGTGCAAGTGAGAAACCATCAGAAGGCCCGTACCAAACACAGGAGGCAGTCAGGATCCGAATGGCCATAAAGAATTGGGAATTGATGAGAATGTAATGGGAGAAAAAGTGGATTTACCCTCCTTAGCAGCAGAAGTCTTGGGTAAAAACAAATGGTCAGGGAAGAGGAAAACACAAATTGTGAAATGGAACATGGCAGGTGTCAATCTCAAATATCTCAGATTGCTGCCGGCCACGCCCAATAATATGATGAATAGGGATTTTAAGGAAAGGTGATACAGTAAACCAGAAGACAAAGGTTCAAACATAGGACAAGTGATAGTATGAAGGAAAACATTGAGATTCCAATCCAGGAGAGACAGGATGGGGAGAATGGGAAAGGGAAAACAAATGAAATGACAAAGACAACACTGGAGATTGGAAGACAGAGGCAAACTCAGAAATCTGAATGTGCAGGATAATGCAGCTTGATAGCTGGCAATCAAGGAAACTGGCAGTCCCCTATTAAAAAGCCAAATGAAAAATGCAGTCAACTATTGTGAAGGTTGTGAAGGATGATATCCCTGACAAAGTGACTTGCAGTGGAAAATATACCATTTATGCTGACAAACTACTAAAGAGGAAGGACATACAGGATGGGCAATCAATGAGGCAACGTGCCTGGAAAATCTGGAATGTCTGGTGAAGAACCGGCCAAAAGCCATATGTAAAGCCGGAAGGCAGGAAAGGACAGATGATACATGCCTGCTTGAAGTTAATGAAGGAGTATGGGAGACAACAGTAAAGAGGGGAGGTGTTACCTAAAGCCTGTGCAGAAATGGAAACCACATCTGAGTAGACCAAAATGGAGCCAATAGGAGTACATGACATAGAGTGGTCTGAATCAATGAAAGGACCCTGGGAAGAAGATATATATAGGAGGATATGCATATAGGTAATGTCCTTTCTTGTTTTGACTGAGACCATCTCCAACTTCTGCCAAAAATGTAGAAGTTGGGCATTGAGATGTGTGGCAAAAGCATCCACATCTGGAATATCCCAATGAGTACACAACTGCTCTGTCAGGAGAATCTTGTTGGACCGAGATAATCGGTCCATGACCAGAATTCGGGTACCCAGAATATGACATGCTAACAATCTAATGTGATGATTGTGGACCTACTAGCGGAGATTCAATGTTCGGAAGCAAAGATTTCATGACCTTGCTTGGTAATATAAGACACTACCATGGAATTACTAGAATAAACAATCACTGCACACCCCCAAACATCCAACAAGAAGTGAAGCAGAGCATGATCTACTGCCAGCAACTCTAAGATGTTGATATGTAGGGATGATTCAACCAGTGTCCAATGGCCTTAAACCTCTTGAGCATTGAGATATGCACCTCAACCTAAAAGGAAAGCAACTGTAAAACAGATAGCAGTCAAGACGAGGAGGTATAAGAGGAAATCTGATGGTAATATTGGTCTGATCCAAACACCAAGCGAAGTTGTTCTGTAGATGGAGAGGCAGGATAATAGGAGCATCTGAAAGATCCCAAATGAGGCTCCACCAGTTGAGTAACACCAACGAAAGGTGTTGCATGTAGGTGTGACCAAGGGGAATGACAACTTTGACAGAAGCCCACATCCCCAAACAAGATAAGTCTCTCCTGCAGTAAGAGAGGGAGATGCCAATATACTGCGAACAAGATATTCCATATCCTATAAATGAAGAGGTGAAGGCTGGGCCCAACTGATGAGGGAATTGAAAAATGCACAAGTGAATCAGATACTGTGTGGGTATGAGAAATGACTTCTCCAACTTGATGAGCCAACCCAACTATGGCAGCCTCTCGAAGAAAAAACTGAGTATGAACAGCAGAGTCAACCTGAAAGGAAGCCAAAAGTAGTTAGCCATCCATGTAATGGTGGAAATGAAGGCCTCTGGCATGAAAGCAGTTGAGGTAACAACTGGACTATCAAGCAGAAGGCATAAGGAACTGAGGCCAGGCCAAATGGTAAAGTCACTATGCTGTAATCCTCTCAAACACCTTCAAGTAACAACTCAACTGCAAATGAATGAAGAATGATAAGCCAGGACTGGCAAAGGGTTGGATGGGGAGAGTTGAGGCATAGAAACAGTAGGAGGAGGTTGGGAAACTCGAGAAGCAAAATGGGGATAATGAATTATGCAGACGATCAGACTCAACTCAGGCCTAGAATGAGTCAGGAAAAATCCCAAACACCTCTTCAAGTAAAAATGGTGTTATGCACAAGTCCCGAACGGAAGTAGTGGGTAAACATACTCGAGAAAGAATGGCCTCCCAACCCAGAAGGTCCCAAGAGCATATTAGCCATGTCTGAAGAGCCAGGGCCGAAGATGAAAGATGTGCCATTATGGTAAAAAAAAAGACCTCAAACACCATTTTAAAACCCTTTGTGAAACAAGTAAATTGCCTGAGCCAGCAAGTGCATAATCAATAATGCATGCAGAATTGTGGACAACATCAGTCTTACATGATAAAATTGAGATTGTGAGAAATACACCAATGCATTAGGGTTCAAATCCCACCATGTAACACTGGGAATAAAGATAAGGGAAGGAGGATCTATGAAATGCATAGTAAGATCTTCAGGTGTACATGGCAGAAAAGGAATACTAATCATTGACCAAAGTTCATCCTCATAATGCTGGGCATGAACCCCAACATCAGGTGAGGAAGAGAACACTAAATATTGGCCCATAGATACTTCACCAAGGAGATCAGGTTGAAAATCAGAGGAAACAGGAGATAAGGATAAGACAGAACAAACCTGATTAACAAATTCAAACAAGGATGAAAATGGTCTGGGTAAATCCGCCGATATCACTCATGACTGGGAAACATATTGGGGGGGTGGGGTGATTAGGCCGTCATGTCCTCAGCCGGTAATTGAGTACTCAACCAAGTAGTAGTGGTAGATATAACTACCTGAAACTACAAGTGCACAGTGACAGTTTCAAAGATGAAGACCATAAAAATAAAAAAAATAAAAAGTAAGAAAGTTGGAAAAAGTAACTCTTCACAAATCAAAAATGTGAAAAATTAAAGATATATTAAAGAAAAACTAAGTCTGTAGTAGAAAGGAAAATATCAACAACTTTACAAACAAAAACCAGCACATCTGTACAGTACTATTGCTGATCAAAAAGTGATTAACAAGTGCAAATGTGAAGAGGGCCCTGGTTATGAAAGGGGTTCACAGTCCTGTTAGTGGAAAGTTACTGCATAATCATTAACATGTGGATATGTAGAAGTAGGAGGTGGAAGGCTAGAGGTGAGTATTTAAATAATATTTGTATTCACGTTTTAAATTATAACAATGGTTATTAATACCACATTCAAAGTTTCGCTGGGATCGGAGGAGTAATGTGGTTTCATGTTACATAGATATACACAAAATTAAGAGCAGCCAGCATGTTGCAAGAGAAATATGTATTCCTGTATCTTTGTATTCACTGGACATTATATAGCTAGTACAAAATGAAAGTATTTCAATAATTATATATATATATATAAGAGTGTACACAATAAATCAACACTTACTGCTACAAAAATATTAAAATCTGCTACCACTAAAAGAAGTTAACAACTGTCTTGATATAAATGAAGTTTTTTCTAAAAGTTATTTTAATAATAGAAAAGCTTGACAAAAATTAGCAGTTATAACAAACCTGCATATTTCAATGACCCCTCTGTTAACAAAACCTGTACATTTTAGCTCCATGTCTCATAAATATAGTTACATCAAACCTGTACATTCCATCAGCCTTTCTGATAAATATAATTATATCAAACCTGAACATTCCAACAGCCTATCTAATAAATATAGTTATATCAAACCTGAACATTCCAACAGCCTATCTAATAAATATAGTTATATCAAACCTGAACATTCCAACAGCCTATCTGATAAATATAGTTATATCAAACCTCAACATTCCAACAACCTATTTAATAAATATAGTTATATCAAACCTGAACATTCCAACTTCCTGTCTGATGAATATAGTTATACCAAACCTGAACATTCCAACAGCTTATCTGATAAATATAGTTATAGCAAACCTGTACATTCCAACAGCCTGTCTAATAAATAGTTATATAAAATCTCTACATTCCAACAGCCTTTCTAATAAATATAGTTATACCAAACCTTTACATTCCAACATCCTCTCTGATAAATATAATTATATCAAACCGGTACTTTCCAACAGCCTATCAAACAAATATAGTTACACAAAAGCTTTAAATTCCAACATCCTCTCTGATAAATATAATTATATCAAACCGGTACTTTCCAACATCCTCTCTGATAAATATAATTATACCAAAACGGTACTTTCCAACAGCCTATCTAATAAATATAGTTATACCAAATCTGTACATTCCAACACCCTTTCTGATAAATATAATTATATCAAACCTATACATTACAACAGCCTGTCTAATAAATATAGTTATACCAAATCTGTACATTCCAACACTGTGTCTGATGAATAGTTATATCAAATCTGTACATTCCAACAGCCTGTCTAATAAATATAGTTATACCAAACCTGTACATTCCAACACTGTGTCTGATGAATAGTTATATCAAATCTGTACATTCCAACAGCCTGTCTCATATAGTTATACCAAACCTGTACATTCCAACAGCCTGTTTGATAAATAGTTATATCAAACATGTACATTCCAACAGCCTGTCTGATAAATAGTTATATCAAACATGTACATTCCAACAGCCTGTCTGATAAATAGTTATATCAAACCTGAACATTCCAACAGCCTTTCTGATAAATATAGTTATATCAAATCTGAACATTCCAACAACTTATCTAATAAATATAGTTATATCAAATCTGAACATTCCAACTTCCTGTCTGATAAATATAGTTATATCAAATCTGTAAATTCCAACTTCCTGTCTGATAAATAGTTATATCAAATCTGTACATTCCAACAGCCTGTCTGATAAATAGTTATATCAAACCTGAACATTCCAACAGCCTATCTGATAAATATAGTTATTACAAACCTGAACATTCCAACAACCTATCTAATAAATATAGTTATATCACATCTGTAAATTCCAACTTCCTGTCTTATATAGTTATATCAAATCTGTAAATTCCAACTTCCAGTCTGATATAGTTATATCAAACTTGAACATTCCAACTTCCTGTCTGATAAATATATTAGGTCATCAAGAAATTAATGTCACCTTTTTTTAGATGAAAAAACCCGAACAACTTGTATATGAAAACAAAACATTTAATAAATGAAATAGTCTTTATTCTTATTGATGGTGCTTTTCCATCTTACAATCAAGTTGTT